GGAGAAATGTCTAGAAAGAAAATCACGTGAAAAAGACCTAAGGTTTATAGGGGCCTAGAGACTTAATAAAGTCAATAGTGTGATGTGGAAATCTTCAGCAGCAACCACAAAACCAGTAACCATTCTAAATTGCTTTCCTAAAACCATAGGTTTCAGATTGAGGATGGTGACAGCTAGCCTTGCTGTCCCTTGTCCTGTTTAAATAGCACCTGCAGCATTCTCCTGGGTGCCACATTTTAGAAATAACATCCATACATTGGGGCCCATTTAGCGGATGGTGACCAGAATAATAAAGGAAATATTCAGCCTGGAGAAGAGACTACTTGTGGACTTAACAAATACTGGTTGATAGTTTAGTCAATCAATCAACATTTATTAAATGCCTGCTATGTGTCAGGCACTGTGTTCACACATGGACAATGAATCAGACTTATTCTACTTCACCATAGTGGGCAGTACTGTGACCAATGAATGGAAATTACAGTTTGAAAGGACCATGAGGCCATGTCGTTCAAATTCCTCATTTTACAGATAAAGAAACTGAGATCTGGAGATATCCAATGACTTGTCCAAATTGAACTGAGTAGTAAGTAGCAATGCTGGGATTTGAACCCAGCAACAGTCCCTTCCACTTCTGCATTTAGGATTTTATGATTCTATGAAAATCTCTTCCTTAATGTGTTGAAAAGGATTTTACCTGACTGGGTCTAAAATAGGGTATAGCACGAGTTGCAGTCCACTGATTCTCACCTATTCTATCATGCAGCAAAAAATGGAAATTCATAACTCCAAGACCCTAAATGTATTGAAGTTATATATTTTTAGGAAGGAATCTAGATAGTTAATACTTTTCTTTGGAAAAGTCTATTTGCAGTTTTGACACATATAAATATGTAAGGTTAATCCAATTCACACTCAAAAGTTGTAAGAGTACTAAAGAAGATATGAATTATTATTATATCACTACCTTGTCACAGTTATAGGGTCAGACTTTTCACAGGTTATCTTCCTTTCCTTAAACACAGCTAGTTGAAATTACTTGGTAACCTGAAATGCTATTATATGTGTTTGCTCCTTATTTTGGGAGTGTGAAAGACCAGCAATAGATGTGCCTGCCTGTAAAATTTCGGTAGATCTTTGTAGCTGAAAATTGTGTTCTTTAAAAAAAATAAAATAGGCAAAATAAAAATGATAACATTACATAGCACTTTAACATTTCTAAATAATTTTCCTCACCCTGACTCTGTGAGGTAAGTAGCAGGAGCATTATTAGCTCCATTTGACAGATGAGGAAAATAGGGCTCAGTGAGATTCCTGATCAAGACCAGTGTCCCTGTTAGGAAGGGATAGAGCTGGGCCTTGCCTAACTCCAGGTACAGAGTTTTTTCCCCTATGCAATATTTCCTTTTGTAGGGTGGATATCATACTAATGTTGACAGCAAAATTCTACATAACAGGATTTATACTTACTTTGCATCCAACAGAGTCTAAACTGAAAAATTTCACTACTGTGAAAATAAGGCTTCTCATTGCCATGACAGAGCAGTGACTGTTGATAACCACCAAGGAGCTTGGCTGGAGTGGAGGGAGGGCAGATGTAACATTTTTTTCAAGAATGATTCAAAAAGCACCATAAAATTCTAACTAGAATGATTGGCAGAGGCAAGAACACTCTGTTTTGTTATTTCCATCCAGACCCTACTCTTTCCTGTGCTTGACACTTAAGATAAGAGCTAGTTCAAGCTATGGGGAAAACCTATTACTGAAATGTGAATACTATAGTATTCAAATAGTATGACCACATTCAACTGAAGGGCTTTCAGAGCTCTTAGATTTCAGTGTTAATGTCTCCTTCCCTATGATCCCTCCCAAACAAACAAATAAACAAACAAAACTACTTCTCAAGCAATGGCAGTTTGGTTCAAGGACATTTTTGTGTGAGATGAGCATCTTCAGGAATGAGAAGAGTTATTAGATGAGGAATGGCAAATAGTATTTTTCATCTCCACTGAGGACAGGGAAAGATGAAGTGGATTTAAATTGCAATAGGGAGGACTAACGCTAGAACCAAGGAAACTCCAGCTCTGGGATAAGGCTTGTGACACGTGAGAGTGACCAACTGTAGGGTTGCTTTTAACCCAGTGGGGTTGGGTTAGGCTGTGGCTAGAGCACTGGGGTCATAAAATGATGCATTTTGGAGGCAGAGACTTTGCAGGAAGCAAATCAGCATGACAAAAGAAAGCACTGGCCCTCTGCCATGTTGTTTTTCTGAATACTCCCTGTGGACCTCTATGGCCTGTGATGCACTGTTCACGAACTTGGACCTCAGATTTCTGCCTTGTCCCAGGGTCTGGCATTTCTCTTGTTAGAACGTGGGATTGCTTGGCCACTTATTTGGTAGATTTCCCTGACTCTGATGTTGTATTCTGGCCACCCCTGGACTTATCTTTCCCTAGACATGTTGACTTTATTATTCCACAGGGTGAGACTGATCCTTATTAATCACAAATGATACCTTAGTACAGAGGTACTTTCCCCCTCTGGATCTTGGCATAGAACAATTGAACATAATGCAACCAAAGGACTTTCAATATTTTCATCCACAGATTTTTTTTTTAAGGAAGGCAGATGGCTGACCAAAATTAAAGAATTTACATAGAATCCTGTCTGAAGCATTCTTAAATTTGTCCGCATAGCCATGTTGCCCCCACCCCAAAGCCTACTTGCTAAGCTCCAGTGCCCCCGCCCCCTCCCCAGTTACTTCCAGGATCAATGAAATTCTCTGCTTGGGTTTTAGAGCCCTTCACCACCTGGTCCCTTCCGACCTTTCCTTTCTTCTTACACTTTCCTCACCTGTGATCCAGCAACATTGTCCTTGTTCTTCCTCACCTACAACACTGCATCTCCTGACTGTTGTTCTTTTCACTGGCTGTCCTTCATGTCTGGAAGCTTTTCTTTCTCCTTAAGTTCTTCATGACTCTGCTTTTCTCCCTTCTTTTCTGGTTTTTCCCACCTCAAGTGCCTTCCCTCTAAAATCATCTCTCATTCATGTTGTCTATGCCTTGTATGTAAATAGTTGTTCGCATGTTGTCTTCCCCACCAGTATGTGAGCTCCTTGAGGGTGGGGACTGTTTTTGCCTCAGTTTATGTATCTAGTGCTTAGCATAGCATCAGGCACATGGTGACTGTTTAATAAATGCTTGTTGACGGACTGACTGACTACTCAGCTGTCCCAAAGCCCTATTGTCTTCTCATTACAACAAATGGTATTATAAACATGCATTGTTTACTATTTTTAGAAAGTCAATATGTTGGCTTTTAATTGGATCAATGTGGGCAATGTGTTCCACACTAAAGCTAGTTTCCTGGTGAGCGAAGTCTGTGAAAGTGGCATGGAACATATCTGGCCTTCTAACATTTTTGAGTGAAAAGATCCTGAATAAATGTTATCATCATTATCATATCACATCATGACCTGTATACAGTAAGCACTTAATAAATAGTTGTTGAGGGGGGAGTGTAGTAAAATGAAAATCTCATTGGACTAAGGCAGAAGACCTGCATTTGAGCCCTTGCTTTTTTCTTTACTAAACAGCTGACCTTGGTTTAGTCACTGAATCTCTATGAACCTCAGTTTCCTCATCTGTAAAATGAGGATAATAATATACTATATACACCACAGGGGAATCATAGGGATAAAATGCTGTAATATGTATAAAGTACTTTGTAACTGTTAAACAGGGTCCAAACATAAGTTATTCTTGGTGAATTGTAGAATCTCAGAATTTCAGAGTTAGAAGGGACCTCAAGACATCTAGTCCAACTCTTATATGAACAAGACTCCCTTGTAAGACACAACCAACAGGTGATTATCACCTTTGTTTGATGATCTTCAAGAAGAAGATATTCATTTTCTTTTGGGGTTGTGAATTATTATAAATTAAATATTGTAAGGGCTTACATTTTCACTGATACTTAGCTTTTTTTAATGGCTGGCTTAATAATAAAACATTTTTAAGTGCTTACTATGTGCTAAGCACTGTGCTCAGCATTTGGGATACAAATATTAAAAAAAGAAAAATAGGCAGATGAGTTCCTTGGCCTCAGAGAGCTTACAATCTAAAAGGGGAAGATGACAAACAGAAGGGAGAAGTAGCCAGGGAAGGGAGTTTTGCTCTAGGGCAGGTGGAAAAGGGCGTGTTGGGGAGACGTGTGCACAGTGGCAGACAGTTGAGGAGGTGGCCTGGCTGGAAGGCTGGATGGAGTGGGAAAGCTGAAGTATGGAGTGCTTGCTCCATCTTTACCCCAACACTAAATAGGAAAGCAACTTCCTTTGGTAGCACCAAAATTTATTCTCATGGAGCTCAGGGGAGATAGCAAAAAATCAAGAAAATAACTGGGATATTATTTTCATAATAAAATATGCTCCCCTTGCAATTTCTTAAGCAGTGTCTCCTCTTCAGATGTTCTCCAAGTATGTATGTTTCCTTCCATTTCCTACAAAATCTGTAACCTTTTCACATGCTAATTTTTAACCACTGAGTTAGAAATCACGAATGCAAATTTTCCAATAACAGCCTTGGTGCTGATGCCAAGTGCAGACTTAAGTTTGAATAAGAGACCTGGACTTCCAGGTCATTGCAGATAATGGCCACTTATTTCAGTCTGGCATAGTCCCCAAGGGCAGTTTCCTTCTGCCTTCCTCTTGTTTCAACAACTCTCTGCTTTAGAAAAACATATTCGAGAGGAACCAGAAGAAACCTCGGTTTGGGCTCTCACAGAGAAATTGAAAAAAAGCATTCTCCTAACAGCTCCTGGCCATCCAGGCAATAAATATTTGGGAGCTCCATGGATGCTGTATATATCCATTGTGGCTTATTGGCAGAGGCAGCCCTTTGCTAAAGACGTTGGGCATAACTGTGGCTAAGGACACACATTTTATAGAATTGGAGTATTTCCTCTTGTCATGACAAACATAGGCATTGGAAATCTTGACTTGCCTGCCGTGAAGAATCTGCCTTCAGATCTTCATCTGGATCAACACCAACTCTATTAAAGGAAACAACAAAACTGGTCAATGACTTGCCAATGACTGGATTGCTGTGTGGTCAGAGCTTAATGTTGGCTTACTCAAGCCAAACAAGGTAGGGAATGGGAAAAAGATTCGGAAGAATGCTATTAATATTTCTCCCAGAATCAAAGGAATTCAAAACTGATTATTGCAAAAAAAAAAAAAATGAAGACACTTTACAGCTGGGTCTTAGAACAGCTGCTGAGACATCATAGAAATAGCTGGTCTTTGGTTGCTCTTCTTTCCTTCTTCCCCTCCCTTGAAGCCATATAGAGTATCCTGGAGTAGACAGGAACCTAGCAACCTAGGACACAAAGATTAGGAAACAGATTTGCAAACACTGAATCGAAGGGATCCAACTGAGACCAATGGCTGGCTGCCTCCTGACAAAATTGCCTGGAGTGGATAAGGCCCAGGGCTTGAGCACAGAATCAATTGCTTTACAGTAAAGGAAACCTTCCCCTAGTTATTCATTTAGCCCTCTCCTGCTCTCTGGAGAGATTTGTGGTTTGATTGTTTTTCCCCATCACTTCTCCTCTTACTTAAGCTACATACATGAGTGTGAACTTTGTCATTCAGTTGTTTCAGTAGTGTCTGACTGTGACCTCGTTTAGGGTTTTCTTGGCAAAAGGTACTGGAGTGGTTTGCTGTTTTCTTCTCCAGCTCATTCTGCAGATGAGGAAACTGAGGCCAACAGGATGAAGTGACTTGATCAGGGTCACACAGCTACTAAGTGTCTGAGGCTGGATTTGAACTCAGGAAGATGAGTTCTCCTGACTCCAAGCCCTGTACCATCTACCTACCCCATGTGGCCTTTACAGTTTCTAAATTTCTACTAGTGACTTCAGATCATTTCCACTTGGAACATCTATGTACTGTCTATCTCAGTGTTCATTTGGGAATAGAGGTATAGAGATAAAACCTGTCCCTGCAGCGCGGAGGTTCTTGATTTGGGATCTGTGGATTTCAGGGAGGTCCATGAATCTGGACAGGAAAAATTATACTTTATCTTTGCTAACCTTTGATTTCTTCTGTGATTCTATGTATTTTATCTTAGGTATTATGCAACATTGTTCTGCAAAGGGATCCATAAATTTCACCAGACTGTCAAAGAGATCCATGATGCAAAAAATAAACCAAAATGAAGAGACAAAAACAAACAAAAAAGCCCCTAAAGCCTAGCCTTAGTGGGATTTCAGCTTTTTGGAGCTAAAGACTCCTTTATGCTTTGTCTTTGATTCCTAGCACCTGAAACAATGGTCCTCCCACATGAAAATCCATCTCTCATCTTCTCGTTTTTGTACATGTCATCCCCCATGTCTGGAATGCATGCCCTCCTCACTTCATTTCTTAGAATTCTCAGTTTCCTTCAAAGACCAGCTCAAGCACCACCTTCTCTACACCATCAAACCTTTCTTCATTCTGTACCCTCTCTAAGCTTTTAACACCTCCCACCTCTTTTAAGTAGTATGTATTTTGTATACCTTCCTATTTGTACAATTTGCCTGCCCAGTGGAATGTAAACTCTTTGAGGGGAGAGACTACTATTTCATTGTTGCCTTTGCACTCTCCCACATGGCATAATGCCTGGCACTTAGTAGGGGCTTGATAAGTGCTTGTTGATTGAAAATAGATGATTAATAATATTCCATGTTGACTTGAATTTACTCGAAAGTCACTCATTTTCAATTCCAGTGAAAATGCCAATTTGGTCTAAATGTATAAACTGATTAGCAACAATGCACAGCTGTTCTTCCACTTCCATACTAAGAGATGTAAAAATGACGTGTCAATGCCGAAAGTACAGGCTTTATAACCATTTAAATCAAAGATGAATCCTTGCATGCCTGGCCAATGTGACATTTGTCCCTGACCTCCAAGAAGTTTGCCAGAGGGGATCCATCCAACCAATTTACCATTTTAAACACCATGAAAAATTTCAACCACTTTTGGTGGAAATCTTTCTGATGTGGATCGCGTATGATGAATATCCTTCTTAAACAGGTGAGGCAGAATGTCACTTAATCTTTTCTTGATGACTCAAGGACATCATTAGGAACATTTTTGGTGCTCTGATTCTGCCCTAATTTTGGGGAGAAGGGAGAGGATGTTTTTGACTTTACAGATTGATCAAGTCTTCCCCAGTTGTCTCATTTTCTTAAGCTCAGAGGTAGCTCTGGGTTTTCAATCAATAAACAATCCACTAATTTTAGCTAAAATTCATTTGGAACACTAACAAGTGGTTATTTAAATACAACAATGGGAAGTGAATAATTAAAAAAAGAAAACATTAAAAGATAAAGCAAATGTTTTTACATACTAAACCTAGAAGAGAAAAATGGAGAGTTTATGTCCTAACTTTTTGTCTTCAAAAATTCTGTGTCCTCCAGTTATAAATGCCTGTCTCTGTCTCTGTATCTCTGTCTTTGTTTTTCTCTCTTAAAAGTAATGATCCTATAGCCAACTCATGAAGGGAACAATGTGAATGATTATTTATTTTGGACTGTACTCAAATAGAAATGGGAGTTGTATGTAAAGGCCTCTAAAAGTGCATATTGACTTAGAAAATCACATTAACATTACATTTGTTCTACTGTATTTTTATTTATTTTGTAAAATATTTCCCAATTACATTTTAATCTGGTTTGGGCCATGTTTGACACCTTTATTTTAGATAACCAGGAAAAAAACTTCATTAAAGTCTCTAGCCTGCTGATTTTTGGGGAGCAAAACATCCTATTCATTGTGTTCAATTTCATTAATAATTTACATTTATATAACAACTTAAGATTTGAAAAAATACTTACTCTACTATCTCACTTGAGTCTAACAATGACTTTGTGAATAAGTGGACTCAACCTGGTACTGTGGGAAGAATCCTGGAAGGGGAGGACTTGGGTTCAAATTCCATTTTGGATGCTTCCTCCCTGTGTGACTTTGGGAAAATCTCTTAACCTAAGTCTTGGTTTCCTCATCTGTCAACTGAAGGCTTCAGACTAGATGACCTCTGGGTTCCCTTCCAGCTCTGGATCTGTCATTAGCCTCACTGTATAGATAAGGAAGTTGATTCTGAGAGAGCTTAGGTCAAGAGACTTTCCCAGTGAAAGGTAAGTGGTAAGCCAATGGAAACTGGAACCAAGTTGTCCTGGCTTTAGGGTGAGTGTTATATTCACTCTAACAAACATTGCTCAGCTTCTCACTGAGCACCTAAATAATAGGGCCTCTAATACTCATTATGATGGCTCAAATGGCAAGGTAGGGGAGACCCCTTAGGAAGTACTGGTTGGTAGGGCAGGTCAAGCACCTATTTTAAAATGAGGAAGCTTCTTCCAAGCCCTCTTTTTCTCACCATTTCTGGCCTGTTCTCAGAGGAGGGGTATGCAAGGAATTCTAACTTCCCTTAGCTCCAAGCCTCCTGGAATTGACTAGGTATGGGGCCAACACGATGAGTTACTGCAAACAGACTCAGGCATGGTGAAACACCATGTGGCCTGGGAAGGACAAGCAGTAAATTTGATTCTAGGCTTTGCACTTTCCGACTCCCATTCCACTTTAGGATTGTTATATATTTCAGCCTCCAGAAAATTGAGGATAACAAAACTTGAACTGTGCATGAACCCAAGGTTTTAGATTTTTAGGGGTGACTCAAGATGAGCTTAATTCCACCCTGGAGAGGTGAAGCTTTCATCCTTTGTGGTAATTGAAGCTGTCATCTCTTTCCCTGCCTCAATTATTCCTGAAGCCAGATAGAGAGGAGCAGAATTCAAGGACTGCGTTGTTATCCAGTCTTGCAGAGGACTAGAACAAATCCATGCCTGCTCAATGAAAACTTTCTTATTCCACAGGGAGAGATGACACCACCTTTTTTGTTACTCTCATTCCAGAGTCAAGTATGTCACAATGCCAGGATTTTGTTCTGTATTTCTAATCTACATAACTTTTGTAGTAAGAGAAAAATGTCATCCACATCTATGTAAATTGTTCAGTTGTTTTTCTGCTGTGTCTGACTCTTTGTGACCCCATTTGGGGTTTTCTTGGCAAAGATACTGGAGTGGTTTGCCATATCCTTCTCCAGTTCATTTTACAGATGAGGAAACTGAGGTAAGTGGGGTTAAGTGACTTGCCCAGGGTCATATAGCTAATAAGTGTTTGAGGCCAAATTTGAACTCAGTTCTTCCTGACTCCAGGCCCACTGCTCCACCTAGCTGTCCACATCTACGTAAAGACAATAGTAATAGCATCAGGTCACTGTCACAGGCACAGAAAATAAGCTAAAAAGGATCAGAAAAGAGTATAGCCATGGCATATTTATAGTATATAGCATACAAGTTAATTTACACTAAAAGTGTATTTATTTGTTATTGTTAGGGAATATCCAAATGGATCTGTGAACTCACTGCTTTGGATGTTCTCTCCATCCATGCCTACTAGGCCAATGTGACCCTTGTCTCTGTCATCCTAGAAGTTTGCTAGAGGGGGTCCATCCAACAAGTTTACACTTTTAAACACTGTAAAAAATATCAGCCACTTTTGGTGGAAATCTTTCCAACATAGATAAGGCATGATGAATAACCTTCTTCAACAAGTGATACAGAATATAATTTAACCTTTTCTTGATGATTCAAGGACATCATTAGGAACATATTTGGTGATCTGATTCTGCCCTAATTACGGGGAAAAGGGAGAGGATGTTTTTGACTTTATGAACTCTGATCAAGTCCTCCTCAGTTGCCTCATTTTCTAAAGCTCAGAGGTAGCTCTGGGTTCTCAATCAATCAATAATAATTTATTAACAGCCTACACCAGGAAGGTGCTGTGGATACTTGAAGGCTACATTCAGAGAAAACACAGCCTTGGGAGATCCTAACCTTGCTAGAACGCTTCATACATAGCTGGGAATTGGGTTTTTCATCCTTAATCTCAGAATTGGCCTGAATAACTCTGGAAATATTATTCACTGGAAAGCTGGGCGACAGAT